ACCTACCTTATCTTGTAAAGTCTTGTACCATATCGATTTAAAAATACAAAGAGAATTTAGAGCTGCATTATTAATCGCTAAAAAAAATAGCGATCTCAAATTCAAATACCCACACGATCTCATTCTTAAATGACAATGATTCACTAGTGTCTATTAAACCTTTGACAAAATCACACCAGAACATTCAAATATGCGTTTGTGCTGCCATTGAGCAGTTTTTCTATCAAGGTATGAAACCGTCTTGTCATCCATCGCTATTTCCGTGTTCCAAATATTCAAATTATCACAGAAGCACTGACATAAAAGTTTGTCGTTTTTTTATAAATATATATACACTACGGAAGCGACCAAAATAGAGCAAATAACCTTTTAAAAGTAACTTGCTGCTTCAAACAACATTACATTGTTACGCCAGTAGGTGGCGACACGTGACTGTTCAATTTTTTATTTGTCATTGAATCATTCATACAAACTGATAATTCAAAAAAATAATTTATTCAAATTAATCAAACATTTCAGATAGACAGCAGACTCTAGTAAATTACATGTTATTTTGTTTAGTTGTCTGTTCAGAATCGTGATCTCTATTTGAAATTAAAAACTATCCAGAATCATGCAGCTCTAAGAGAAATAACATATATCCCATTCTTTGTTATCAACAACATGAAGCGCATTACGTCAGAATTTCGGAAACAAAATGGACCATCAATGTGCAAATGTGTTGTTAAGTTATTGACTTAAAGGTTGTATCAGCGATTTCAGGCCCAACCAATCACCGACAGGGGGCGGGTGTTGTGAGGTTTTGCGCTTGTGCACGGCTGCACGCGAAGACGGAGCTGAAGAGGAAGCCAGCGTCTATCAACGAACCCATGGTTTTAAGTGGTTGGTGAAACCAATTGTTTTTGTGTGCAGATCTCAGAGCCTAGGCTGCCTACAGAGACGCGGTTTTTGATGGCCTGCTTATGGGGCGGGCAGCTAGTGGATCGTTAGGAAAGATTAGATGAATGTGATCATTTATGTTTGGGCCTGAAATCGCTGATACAACCTTTAAAATCTCAAATTAGGTCAAAGATGTTCAAATGAATGAATAGTTTGCATTTTAATATATGAAAGACAAAAGCCTTCCAAAGACATAGTAATACATGGTTAAATGACTCTCTAAGTGAAAATTAAAATAATTATAATTAACACGAGATTGTCAGGAGGTGATTAGATATGCAATGTTGCAATGTTGAGAAAACATTCCTTATAAGTGAAATGATTTCTGTAAATTCATTGGTCAAATCATCTCCATTTTCAACGTAATTACAGCTACTTGACTATATGGCTGGTCTGTGTGTACAATTCCACAAATCTAAAAGAATTTCCAAACATACAGCGGTTGGAGAATGAAACAGAAACACCTGGTTTTAGACCACAGTAATGTATGGTGTAGGGCCTCCTTTTGGGGCAATTCATCTTGGGAATGACAGATACAAGTTCTTCAGTCATGGCCAGAAGGATATTGATCCATTTCTCTTGAAGAGCAGTGGCCAGGTCACCATGTGATGCTGGTGGAGGAAAATGTTTCCTGACTTGTTCCTCCAAAATACCCAAAAGTGGCTCAAAAATATTTAAATCTGGTGACTGTGCAGGTCATGGGAGATGTTCAGCCTCACTTTCATGACCATCAAACCATTCTATCACAAGTCTTTCAGTGTGTATTGGTGCATTATCATGCTGATACACGGCACCCCCTTTAGGGTACAATGTTTGACCATTAGGTGCACATGGTCCTCCAGAATGGTTTGTTAGTCCTTGGCAGGGATGCGCCAATCGCGCAAAGTAGAGAAATGCCATGATATAGCAGCCCAAACCATCACTGATCCATCCCCGTGCTTCACTCTGGACAGCAACAGTCGGGTGTTAAGCCTCTTTGGGGCCTCTCACACCGTAAGTTAACTCCCATGGAAGTGGGAAAGACAGTGAAGGTGGACTCATCAGAGAACAATACATGTTTCACATTGTCCACAGCCCAAGATTTGCACTGTTGCCACCATTGAACAATTTGGCATCGCCACAAGTGGCCAAAGGTTTTACTTAAGCTGCCTGACCACGAACAGCTCCCGACGAACCGTTTTGGTGGAAACAGGAGAGTCAAAGAGTGCGTTTAATTCTGCAGTGAGTTGGGCAGCTGTGGTTTTATGTTTTTTGGATACAACCTGGCTTAGTACCTGAACAGACAGCTTTCTCTTGCGTCGACAGTTACTCCTGTTGGATGACGTTCGTCCTACGTGGTGGTATGCCGACATTACCCATAGCTCTCGATACACCACAGAGACTTGCTGTCCTGGCCACAGGTGAGCCAGCGAGACGTGCACCAACAATTTATCCTCTTTTGAGCTCTGATATGTCACCCATTATGTTGTGTGGATTTCAATATTTTATGTACAGCTGTGCTATTTCTCTGCTGATTCAACCTTCACACTCTGGTCTTACTGATGGAATGTGAAATCAATGAAGATCGGCCACCAGGCCTCACATATATAGGCATGAAACCCCCAACACTATATTGGCCAGTGTTTCAGTTTCATTGGCCAACCCCTGTATATAAGCATTAAGCAATAGGCTTTTTTAGAAAGGAAAACTTAAAAGATAAATAAAGAAGAGTTATGGAGAATCGATAAATTATTAATAATTTACTGCCATTATACAAATATGAAATCATTTAATCAATACAAAAGTAACTGTAGACTGACTAGGCGCATTATACAACATATTTTAATACAATTAAGTACTCAATTTTTGGAACCTGATAACCTAATCCAGATATTATCAGTTACTACCCAGCACTGTTTGTCATGGTGGGGATTGGGAGTGGGGACCTTTAATGATTTTCTGCTTTTTTTAACATTTTCATCAAGACATTATATAGTATGTTTTAAGCAGCTATATATATTTGGTATTCACAATGCAAGCAAAATCAGAGCCACACAAACAATATATAATTCAAATGGAATTCAGAAACAAAAATAATTATATTATCGGAAGTCCCAACCCTTCCTGAAACAAATAATGAAGTGCCCTTTCATTTCTGAGAAGCTTGGGTGAAGACAATGGGGAACTGACTTGGGTCAGAAAGTTTGAACATTGAATGCTGTGATGCCCAGTGGCCAGCCTGTCTTCAATAAGAATAAAACATCTGTTCTGATTTTGATGTCAAATGTAACTTCTCATAAAACATTACCCAAGCTGATGTAACAGGCTGTTACCATTAGAGGTTATCTAAACGTGCAATTTAACCAGACCATCTCAATTTCTATAGAATATGATACCACTAATAGAAGTACAAGGACAGGATCTGTGAGTGTACAAAGGCGAGGTTCTGTATAACAAAAGCTAATGAGGGCTGGGACAGGAAAAGGAAACACTGAATTGTGATGTCCGCCATGTTTCGTTCATCTGCTCACCCACACAGGCTATTATATATGAGTAATAAAGGATCAACACATTTCCAAGCCTATATTTCAGTGCTGTTACGGCAGTGGTGAAAGGGTCTGTTTGTTCAATTTGTTATGTTCCATTTCCAGCCAGACTTATTGCTTGGGATGCCTTTTGCCATGCTCATTAAGCTCACATGATGTCAAGAGTGTCCAAGAGCAACAGATTAAAAGGGAAATTTGGCATCTGTGAAGTTTTAGCCTTTATAACTTCTCTCTTGGCTGTAATTGGTGACATGATTCATTATGATTCAGTACAATGGTAATATGATGATAATGCAATTAAAATCATATTCTCACATCATTTATCCAGAGATAATTATGGAATACAATAAAAGCGCATATTCATGGGCATCATCAAATAAATGTAATATTGGTCAACTACTAATCTAAATATTTAATAGTCCCCTTCAATGTCTATGATGGTTACAGCCCTGGTTAGGAAAACCAATTGATACAACATGGTAACTAAAGATTTACACTAAATATGTCACAAACATTTGAACACAGCAACTATTTACATGCTTAAACCAGCCTAAGATGGATTGTTGGTCTTAGCTGGTCTTCCCATCTGGTCACGATGGTCTATTGGCTGGTGTTTTTCACATGGTCAGACTGGCAGCTAAAAAACAACTTAGCCTGGTTAAGAGACCAGCTTAAACCATCAAGATCAGCAAACCAACTTATGCTTTATATATTCAACTGACTAAAATGGAAGACTTAATTTAAGGTATCAATTAAACAAGTTAAATCTAAGTGGTACTAAATATAAAATTAGAGAATTTGCAGGTGATGAAATGGATAAAAAACAAAGATGCTGTTGTAATGATAAAAACATCTACAATGCATCTGTTCACAAACTGGATGAACTTCTTAAAAACTTAAATGCATTTTTCTACAAATCAGATTAATTTCATCATATGCACAAGAATACAAGACATGCACGCGAATTAGGCTACTGAACGCTAATCTTCCAGCCTGATATAAAAAAGACAGAAATAAAATATAATTTAAAATTAAATTAATTAAAATAATCTAAATAATGGAATAAATAAAATAAAATTGTTAAATAAAAAAAAGAATGCAAACAAATTGCAAAAATAAAAAATAAAATAAAAAAGGAAATAAAACATTTCATTGATGGAAGTCAATTCTATGAGTTTCTGGATACCATTCATCATAGCCTGGATGACATCACCTTGGGAACAATCAAGTCCGTGAGACCAGACGAGCTATATTACTAAAGCCTTTAACGTTACTTCTGTCACAAAGCACTGCGAAACTGACCTTCAATCACATGTGCACCTTTTAAAAACAGTGAATTATAGCAGCTACAGTTATGATCCTTTTGCTTTGCAATGCACATATTTGCCCTAAACATTCACAATCACTCTTAATACCTTATGATCTCTGACGTGATCGACACGAATGCACCTGCCCGTTGAACATAACTTTTTGCAGAGAAATCTCCCACAATCACCGTTCCGATTATAAAATAATAAGCACAAAGGCCTCTCTTACCGGGATGACAGCTGATGGGTTGGATGAGAAGCGCTGATAAAGTCAAACACAACATCCCTAAACGACACGTTCCTCGCAGTCTCCACATGTCCAAATGCGCAATTAGAGCAACACGGAATGGCGGATCAAATTGAGCGTCAAGGAAGGAAACACACTAACTTGACAAACCAAAATAATTACGAGTGACCAAGGCGATTTTAATGACCGGCGACAAATCTTGTGCCTGTTTCGTGGGACATTTCGGACAGCCCACAATCCGCGCACACTTCTGCTCTCAGTGGCGTCCTTTACATTCTCTTTACATTCTCAACTTAATCCCAACCGGAGGCACTTTCAGACGCTCGTGCTCGTTCAGTTCCTTTGCTGTACGGGTGGCTCTCTCTCTCTCTCTCTCTCTCTCTCTCTCTCGCGCGCGCGCATCTACAAAGTCACTCGCTTCAATCACATTCAGCGCGGTCCGCTTCTCTATCCAGGAAGTTGTGCATAAGAGCGTTTCGTGTTTTGCCAGAGGAATTAGTTGAGAAATCAAAGCCCTGCCCTCTGGATCCTAGCGCCGAAGCCTGTGATTCTGTATGACTCCCGAAGAAAGACGAGGATTGGTTACTGGAAGCTGAAGCACAAGACTGTTCTTCTCAGTGTGTCTTTCTAAAACAGTTAGTTCCGGTCCTGTAATCTGATTGGTCAAAGCGGCGTTCCAGGCATGCATATTTAGTAGGGTCGATGACGTGACGCTTTTTTTTTATTTTGTGTCTGAATTAATGATTTAAAAAAACTTTTCTATAATGAAAATGAAGTTTTCGCTGGGCTTAATGTAAAAAAGCATAATCTTTATATAAATTATATTTATATATTTTTAATATATATATATATATATATATATATATATATATATATCAAATGTAATCAACTATTTTGATCTTTTTATGAAAAGGCTTGTTTTTCCAGGTCAAATTGAGTAACTAAAAACGTCTTGATAAATGTATTTACTCAAAAGTCATGATAAAGCCTTTTTTTTTTTTTTTACCATTGTTCATTATGTTAGTTACACCACTTCATATTTTGTGTCATTCAACCAAATTATTTGTTTAAAATGGTACAAAAAGGTACGAAAGCAGTATGAATATAGATCTATAAGAACTTGTAAGGCTTTAAGAGTTTCACATTCTCTGGATAGTAATTTTGGAAATGAAAATTCCAGACTGGAGCTGGAGCAGTGATTAGGATCCTTTGAGCGGGAAATCTTTGTCGCTCCACTCCACTCCTATCTACTGTTCCAGACCGGCTTTCAGTCTGACTGTGTGTTGTTAGTAACCACGGCCGGCATACCATTTCAGTGCAACAGCACTTTGAGATATTGCTTAATTGTACGCTTCTGTATAGGGGCAGCTCTTTATTTGTATACTGACATATCATATCAATATTTATTTCCATCTAATTTCATGAACCAAAGGATTTGGGGACATCGCTTTATATCATGTCACCGTCAGCAGAACTCAATAGACATTGCATTGTCATTCAGCCATGCACTCTTCACTGGGAGACAGGAGAGTCAAAATTGCCCTGCAATGTAGACAGGAGGTTTACATGGCATATTCTGTGCTTCTCAGATTTCACCGGTCCTCAAATGTCCCACTTGCCGACAGTTCAGTTAAAACATTGTACAGCTATATTCAGTAATCCTGTCAGAAAAGCCATTGCTTCCATCCCTGCTTCACAGCCTGGCCTCAGACACGGCTGCTCTCCAAGGTGCTGAAGGTTTGCCAAGCTGTCATGCATTATCCATGGTGCTGGCGACTCCCCTTTCATGACAGTGTCACTTATTAGGAAACTGTATGTATCATCTTTTGTAAATCACGGTGCAGTTGTTAACTTACAGAGATATTTTTTCTCGAGCTGACCTTTCTTTCACTGGTATGTCCTAATGTTTATTATTATTTTGACTAAATAAAAACAGTTTATTTGTATGTTACCACAGGAAACACATTTAAAGGTTACCTTAAATAGCTCTACATTTGAGTATTAGATGAGGACTTCTTTATTCACTTTACAATAAGATCTCCTTATATTGGCTTATTTTGTCCTAAAATAGGTTTACATGCATCAAAGGTAAAAAAAACACACAAAAAAAACACTTTCATTCTCTCATTATATACATTGCACATCACCTCATTTCTCAGTCTCAAACCGATTTGTTCGAAGATTCAGGCTCTCTAAACCCCTCCTAACCGAGAGCTTACTCTGCTCTGATTGGTCAGACGGCCCAGTCTGTTGTGATTGATCTACCGCTTACAGCACTTGTTGGAACCGAAACGCTATTACCATAACTGAATTTCAGCTCTGAAGGCTTCCTCAGGGCTTGATGCACAGCGATATGAACAATGCCTTCGGTTTTACCGTATCAATTCCTCGTCCGACAGCGTCTTCTCGACATGTCGATCACACGAACCAAACTCTTCCAGGCCTCAGCTACAACTAAGTTTGAGGGCGGGTCAAAGTAGATGTCATTCACAGGCAGCCAATGAAGACCATAGGCTGGCATTATGCAAACTTGTTAAATAAGTATGTAACAGGAAGTGAGACTGGAATTGCTTACGACTCGTTTCAGCAGTTCAGTATTGCTTCTTTCTTTTAGGAGACAATAACTTTATTTGTTGTGCACTTTGATCTTTAAAACTTCACAAACACTGCATGAAAGATAATAGGGACTTTAACATTAGTTCAAGTATTAACTGAACGGTAAAAAATAGTCTGTATTAGTAAATGCTGTAGATTTATTGTTCATTCTTAGTTCAATTTAACGTAGTTCACTAATGAAACCTTGTTCTAAATTGTTACCTTGTTTTTTTTTTCCAGAAAAACATAAAATTTTACATGAGAATGAATTAATTTTGTCATCCTTGTTGTGAGGTCAAGTTCTGAGAAAGCTCTCATGGGCCAATGGTTCTCCATCACCCTGTCAGAGCTGTGAGTTGAATGCTTTATCGCTAATTATCACTCCAAGGTTTTCTCACCAGTGCTCAAAGCCCATGTGTTTTTGTGAGACTCTGGTTTTCTCCTAAGACAGCCACAAAAACGGCTACGGGACAGGGAACAGCAGGGGAGTTTGGGAGAGCTGCCCAGCTGGACTTTAATTTGAAGAATCTGATTAAATTCGGTATTTAATTACCCTTCTCTCAGAGGAGCTGTTGGGGATTGTCACAGTGTTTTGAGCGTGTAGGGTGTGAGCCATCTGCCTGTACTTCTGGAGCGCTCTCTGGTGACCCCTGGAAAAAGAGGAAGAAATCATTTTCTCTTTCACTTCTCGGCTCTCTCTCTCACACACACACACACACTCACCCCCGGTCCTTTATATATAGCAACTCTTTATTATTTTTTTCAGTTGATTTCACATGTTGACAGTTGCTGCATAATATATGGTGGAGTGCATCAATTATGTCGCATTTATTCAGGCAACAACTATACAGTATGTGAAATTCATTGAATCAGTGCAACCCTGCACATTGTAAATCTCAGACATAGTCATAACTCACTGTTATGTACCCCAAATAATTCTTCCCAAAGGGGTCGTGCGCACATAGTTTATGGCACAGAGGGTAAAAAACATATAAAAGGATATAGAAAGTGCATGACTGGATTTGGTGGCATTCATAAAAGTTTTAAGACTCAGGTCAAAAAGGAAGTGCTAAAAAAAAAAATCAAGAGCCCACTTGAATCCAATGATACTTCATCCCATCATGCATTTTATATAATGGCATTTATTGATGAAAACTTCTTTGCGGCATGGCGCAACGAAAAACCACGTGCAGGCTTCGAGAAAGAAAGAAAAAAAGAGCTTGGCCATAAAAAGAAAAAAGCGATTGTCTGTTTACCTTGACATCAATGTGGCCTGCAATTAAAATATGAAAAAAGCTTTAAAAAGACAGAGAATCTTTTGAAGATGAGCATTCGATGAGGATCAGCACAGCGATTCAACACTAAGGTCATTATACAATTGAGAATGGCTCAAGTCAACCTAACAGAAAGGCATGTTAGAAAATTCTTAATGATGTTCGGATGATTCTGAAACCAAAGGGGGGCGGCTTGTTTTGTTTTTTCCATGAATTATTATCTTGCCTTTCCCTTAGTGCTGATACTAATCAAAAACAGACATGAAACCCTTATTAAGGACTTATCTGAATGTATCTTGGCAATCAGTCTGCCTCAACTCCGAGAGGGATATTTATGCAAATTGGATGCTTTGTCACCACGGTTTGTCATACATTGTTTGTGAACTTCATAAAGAGCGCGGTTGCGGATGAAAATGTCTATAGCTTCTGGACGGCTGCATAATAACGCAGCCTATTTGTGAAGCCTAAGGTATCACGGCAGCCAAGATAGGCATTTCTTCTGGTCTGAGATATGCACACATATCAGCTTAAACGGAAAATGCTCCATTTGCATATATATGCAATTTAACATATTGCATCATCACACCAGTGCATTCAACCCGCAGGAAAATCTACTTATCAGAACAGCATCCACAACCCGAGACACTAACCTGAGGAGGCTTGTCAAAATAAGTAGGAGATAAGAATAGGAGCTTTTCCTCTGCTTTCACAAGCCATAGCCCATAATTAGGCCATTTTGGGATTAGGGAATTTGAATTTCAGCAAAAATCTGCCGTGCCACTGCTGTTCCAAGACTGTTTTACATTTCTGCTTCAATGTGCCAATAGCCCTAGGCAGTGTGAGTTAAACATTTAGAAGGTACTGACTCCCAGACTTAGTCGTGATATGATATAGAGAGAGGTTAACCCAAAGAAGAAAGTATGAGGGGCAAGAAAGATGGCTTGGAAAATCAACAGTAATATACTGTGTCAGTTTAGAAGCTGTGTTGGCATGGTATTACTTTTTTTAACATAAAAAAAGCATTTGTCATTCAGACTATACAACATAGCTCTAGCAATTCCAAGGTCATGGGCTTGAATTCCAGTGAATGGATGAACTAATACAACGTCTACCTTAAATGCACTGCACGTCATTTTGGATAAAAGCATCTACCAAACCGGGCTGGGCAAGCTACTCAAAAAATGAAAATGGCTAAGCTACAAATTACTCTATAGAATCATTAGCTAAGCTGAAAGTTTCACTTGTATCTTGCTACATTATTTTGTGTGTGATCTATTAAATACAGCAAGATGGGATTTGTTCACATACCAATTACAGATATTTTATTGGTCAGGTCATTCACAGTCCACACATCACTGAAACAAATTCTACCATACCCTTAAGCCTAACCATAACCTTAGTATAGTGCTAGTAGCACATTCTTATAGATTCTATCAGATCCATCCATGCTTTTTCTGAAGTCTGAACTTTTGTTGCCAGATGACTGCATAATT